TCGCTTACTGTTTCTAAATTTATGTCGTTGTAACGTTCCAACGAACATTCATTGGACGTCAATCTATGACGTGCCAACAAATATTCATTGGGTGCCAATTTGTAACCCTTCGAGGCTCAATTTGTAACATCCCAACGTTGAGCTGCTGTTGTCAACCTGTAACCGCAAACCTTAGTTTGCTGCTACAACCTGACTAACATCACTAACAACGTTGGAGTAACAAATCGTTTCCCGTTGGGACCAATTTTTAACGTCATAACCCCTAATGTATCAATTACAAAATTGCTACATTAGACGTTATACGAAACACTCCCTGGCTAGCTCACTCAGGACGTGAATATGGCCTACTCTGGAGCAACACACACAAACAAGTAAAAAGAAGAAACAATACACAGTTAAATTAACACATGTTTATTAAAATATAAAAGAAAACAGAAAAATAAATGTTAAGTATCGTATTGAATTTAAATAAAAATTATTCGACTTCTTGCTACAGTGTTACATTAGGTATATGAAAGAACAATTTTTGTCACCAAATCCTAAGTTTTATCCTGGTCTTTTCTGCTCTGGTTGTTAGCAAGCCATGTGGTTAGTTTTGGATTTTCTTGTCCCGGAGTCAACTCTCCTATTGGAATGATGGTTCCATTCTCAGGCCGGTTGGTCTTCTGGATGTTAATAGAATTTGACCCGCACCTGAGAAATATATCCCGGAGGTTGACTCCAAATCTGGAGACGACACAACAATTGGTTATTCTACTCTTAGAGAAGTCATGAAGAAAATCGACATTTTTAGAAAATAGAAGTCTTTATATCGACTTTTGTATCTAACGGGAAGGGGGAAATATCAACAGAGAATAAAGATGGGACCTCTCGTTCCAAAGTAACAGAAATGAAAAGAGATGAAAATAAAATTCACTCTTTAGAAACTTGAGTAAAAGATAAAAATGTTGATTATTAAGAAAATAGGAAAGGTAGATACTAAAATATATATATATATATATATATATATATATATATATATATATATATATATATATATATATATAAAGAAGATAGATTTGGACGCCAACTGGTTTTTATACCAAATACCAGTAAAAATGAAAAGAGAATAATGAATCAATTAAGTAACGACATAATTCTGATACAATCTATATCCTAGAAAATATATAGAAAAATAAGAGATACAATGGAGGATATAGAAGAATATGAATTATGACAGAAGATACGGAAATTGGAGAATAGAATTAACGAAATATATTAACATAAGAAAGAAAGCAGGCAATGTAGCAGTTATAACGCTACATCGTTCAACGGTGTTTCTGTATTCATATATATCATAATTTTTTTTTCCAAGTTCATCTTAAGACCCACTTTTTTCGAAGCTTGAAATAGTTGCGTCATCATTGTCTAGTTCTTCGAAACTTGTAGCGAATATTGCAATGTCATCAGCGTATCGTAAATGACTCAGTTTTCTTCTATTAACATTTACTTCCTTATCTGCCCAGTTAATGTCTTTGAACACGTCTTCAAGTCCAAGTGTGAATAGCTTTGGTGAGATAACATCTCCTTGGCGAACTTCTCTGTTGATTGGTATAGTTTTGGTTTTCGTATCAATTTGTATTTTCATTGTAGCTTTCTTGTAAATATTGTGTATGAACATTCTGTATCGGGAGTCTATCCTGCAGTTGTTCATAGCTCTCTCTATTGCCCAAAGTTCTATTAAGTCGAATGCATTTTCATAATTAACGAAGTCAATATATAAGTTCAAGTGATATTCATTGGCTTTCTCTATTAGAGTTATAACTGTAAAAAGATGATCCGCTGTACTGTAACCTTTTCGGAATCCTGCCTGCTCTACCGGTTGATAGCTATCGAGCTTCGTCGTTAACCTGTTAGTTATTACTCTCATAAATAATTTGTACATTTGGCATAGCACAGAGATTGGCCTATAGTTCTTGTAGAGATCTTCCCTGTCTCCCTTTTTGAAGGGAGGTATTATCAAACTTTCATTCCAATCATCTGGGACTTCTCCTCTGTGAAGACATTCGTTGAAAAGTTTTTTTATTTCTTCGAGAATAATTTCATTCCCCTCCTTCAACATTTCTACAAGTATTCCATCTGGACCCGGAGCCTTATTGTTCTCTAGTTGTGCCATAGCTTGTTTTATTTCGAAGGATTCTATGTTAGGAAGTATGTCTGGGTTGACATTTGTCATCTTTCTCTTAAGGTCTTCCTTTGCAGTGTTATCTGGGTTTTTGTTTGAGGAATATAAATTTTCGTTATTTTCTCTTATTTCTTCCATCTTTATCCTTCACTGAGATTATTATAGGCTTTTTGAACATTTACTATAGTAAGTTACTTTTATCTTTTTACATTTACTTTTACTTTAGCGAAGTTACTTTTCGTTAAAATTTTTATTTTTGATTGCAAAACATTTTATACTTAAATACCTTTATGGTTTTACTTAATTTTTCTAAAATTACTAAAAAGAAGTATAATGTATTTGAAATTTGTAAAAATGTAGTTGACCGACCTTTAAAATGAGGTAACACTTAACCCCCCTTTTTATTAACGATTTTTGGGTGTTGTGTCAAATAAATTTGACGTGTTTTTGCATATTTTTAGATTTTCTATGGAGACTAAATTATAGAGAACTTTTTAAATCGACACAATGTATAACATTGTGTCGATATAACAACCAATGGCATTGGCCAGTAAGCCACATTCAAAAACTTTTCTTTCTTTGAGGATGGCGGTTTAGACTTAGATACTCTAGCTTCTGCCTGAGTGTTTGGCCCATTCATCTTTGTTTCCCAATCAGGAGTTCTGTATTTATGGAAGTCTCTTGTATATTGTTTAAAACTCTTTGTACTGATAATTTTTGTTAAGCAATCATGGATTTAGGACGTTTTGTCCTTATGAGTAAAGAATGATTTATTATCATCAGTCAGTCATGATCCTTCCTTCATCTTGTGTCTAATATAGCAAAGATCATGAAGTCTGTGTGCCATGACCGTTTAGCTCAAGTATCGACTACTTCCGATTGTCGATTCGGATTTCCATATTCTTCTTCTTCTTCTTTTTATGAATATATGACTGTATCTGTTTTTTCAATGTGCCTCCAATAAGTTGTCGTTTCATCGTTTTCAAGGACTTCCTACTGATCGTCATCCTATTGTGCAACTATCTATTGCCGTCTTTACTGCTCTATTTGTTGTCATTTGGCTTATATGATCGTTCCATTCTACTTTTCCATTTCTTACCCAGTTCTTGATGTTCTCGTTCTTACATCTACGTCGTACCTGTACTTCTATCTCTATCCCTTAGTGTCTAGCCATCAATTTGTCTAAGTGTTTTCATCTCTGCTGTTTCTAATATCCTTTTTGTTCTCTCTTTGCCAGGTCGTGTTTCTGCCACGTATGTCATTATTAGTCTGATAACTGTTTTGTAAATTCTGCGTCTCTGTTTGCTCTATTCACTTGGTCGTCCACTTCGGTTTCGAGCTTATTGTAGCTAGATAATGTGATGGCTAGATATTTAAACTCCATCACTTGTTCTATGATTTGACCTTCCAGCTCCAATTTACATCTTATTAAATTTGCTGTTGTAATCATGCATTTTGTGTTTTTTGGTGAAATAAAATTATTAAATTTTCTGGCGGTTATATTAATTGGTGCATCATACGTTGTAAATCGTCTTCCTTTGAGAGAGTAGTATTTCGTCGTCTGCATAAGAGATTATTTTAAGTTGTTTTATTGCCTCGTTATAAATATACCGTCGGGGCATGATCTTCCAGATCTAAAACCTTGTTGTTCTTCTGCTAGTGTTATAATTTCATTCAGTTCATTTGTTATCACTTTGGTTTGTAATTTTAGTGTTTCCATAATATAAGGTATATTTAAATACTGACTTAATATTCCCAATACTGACCTACGGATGTGAATCTTGGACTCTGAGACAATCGGAGAGAAGAAAGATAGACGCCACTGAAATGTTCTGTTGGAGACGAATGTTACGAATTCCTTGGACCGACCGTAGAACAAATAATTCAATTTTAAGAGAGCTAAAAGTTAGCCAACGACTCTCTAGTAAAGTCCATCTCCAACAATTAAAATATTTTGGGCATGTTATGAGAGCAAACACAGAAAACATGGAAAGACTCATAATACAAGGAAAGGTAGAAGGCCGAAGATCACGAGGAAGATCCTCAACAAGATGGATAGATCAAATTACAGGAATATGTCAAAGACTTATGCATGAATTAAAAGAAATGACCAGAGACAGAGATCTCTGGAGACGGACAATACACGACATCACGTCGACCACTACACTCCCCCTGGGGGGTCAGGATTGAAGAGAGAGAGAAACAGAATACGACTTTGCCTTAACGCTTTGAAGATCTTTAAGTGCATTCTTAGTAAAAACCAAATACAAAACTAGATTATCACTACAAATTGTGGAATAATAAACACCCAAAAAAGATGACATTCTTTATTGCAATGGAATAACCTAATTAAATAAGTACCTAATAGAAAAATAAAATCTGAAAGATATACGAAGGTTTAGTTTTATTATTTCCATTAGTCACATAGTTTTTAAGGAAAATCTTTTTATAAGAATTTACGGATATTAAAAAGTAAACATTTATTTTTTTTGGAACACCAGTATATTTTGTAAAAATAACTACATAATTACCTCATTAACTAACCTTACCTACTAATAAAAAATTCATAACTACTTTACCCCAACAATATTGATTTATTTCTTTCAACCGAATCTCTCACGAACAGTTACTTGGGCTGAATAACAAGTAATGACATTTTTTATGCGTATTCTAAAAAGATTGTTTTCAAATTTGAACAGATTGAAATAATTCCTGATATTTTTGATTATTTTTTCGGTCTGGAATCTTATTCACACCTATATCAAGTAACAGTTACTGTTTTTTGTTGATTATAAAAACATTTGAATTATATTAAATAATTTGATGTACTGCTTTTAGAAAAATGGAAAACAAGGAGGATCGTGGTTACAAAAAAGTACCAGTGCACGAAGAGGGCGTAGTTGAAGCGGCATATGTGTCCGAACGAGACAGTGTATATGTGACCACCACCATTCCTGGACCCACAAGTAGAAATTTCCTTTACATAGCAGCAAGTGCAGGTAAATTTTTGGTCCGCATACATAAAAGATCTTTTTGTTATCAGTAGCACTAGTAAGCGCATATTTGGTTGCCTAACCTACAGTGAAAAATATATGTAATAATAATTGCTGTTAAATATTTTGGTCGACGACTAAGTGATTACAAACAGGGTCAAAGAAAATTCACTTCAGCTCAGGACATTTTAGCTATTCCGCAAAAAAAAAGTGTAACGTTTATTAGGAATTGGTTACTAGAATCTTAACATGCAGATCATAGTTATTGAGTGCCTACAAATGTTATAATTGTCCAATTTTGTATTTTTTAATTTTTCACAACCATTCTCTTTTCTGTCTTCTTTTCTTAATTTGACATAAACTTCTCCGTAACTCCCGTAACCCTCCGATGTTTTTTCACCACTCTATGGTGTCCTTCTGTTTCTTTACGCTTCGTTGTGCTATTGTTGCGTCTTACTTCATTTTGAATATTTTTTTCTTTTGTATTTATTTACTATTCTGGGTTATTCGGGAGATATCTGTAATCGTACAATTAATATCATTTTTGTTGATATTATGAACATGTTTTCAGTGATTTTTAGGCTTTATTTTTTATATATCTAGGTGCATAAAAAACGGTTAAGCAACTGTGAAGTATTAACAAAACATCTTCTTTCCGCTGTTTATTTTTACCGAATTTTGATAATTTTCTTTTACATATTATACGGATTTGTAGATAGTATACGAGGAAAAACAGAATTTTGTTTCTATCATCACGTTTCAAATTAAAACCATTATTTGATCAAAACCAATAATCAAATATAATATCATTTATCACAGAAATATTAGAAAAAACAATGGAGTACGAGATATACTGCCATTACATCTTCGTTCATTTTAAAACAGCGTACGATACTATTGACAGACTCGAATTATATTCGGCTATGATCGAATTTGGAATACCAAAAGAATTGGTAGAATTAATTAAAATGACATTGAGGAAAGTTGAATGTAAAGTGCGAGTACAAGGGGATCTTCCAGAACCATTTACAACCAACAGATGACTGCGCCAGAGAGATACACGCTATCATGGACGCTGTTCAACCTAGCGTTAGAAAAAGATATGAGAGATTCTGGAATAAACTTAACTTGTATGGTATATACTCGTAGTATACAAATATTGGTATTATGCTGATGATAACGTGATCATTGGAAGAACCCGAAATAAAACAGTTAAAGCTTCCAGAAAACTTTATATATTTTAATTATATTGATATCGTCATATAATATGAATAATAAACTATTACTCGTATCGGGACTAAAATCTGTATTTAAGAACACAAATACTTGCACTTATTACATCCTAATCTTTAATATTCTAAGAAGACTGTTTAATATGTTTTTGAAATACTGTCTGCGTAGTTATTTTCGGTGCGCATTTTTGGATCTTATCTCTGTCGTTAGTCCGGTTAGTATTTTTCTTCTTCTTTCTTTTTAATCACTGTTCGGATATAATTGTGAACACTTTTCCATCCCTTCTTAGTTCCCGCCATCTTCACGATCACCTCTCTCACAGTCACAGGGTTCGTATCTAATTTTTCTATGCATTCTGTTTTTCTCCACTGTACATCTATTACACTCCAGCATTGTGTGAGTAACAATGTCGGAATATTTGGCGTATATGCATTTATCTGTATTTGTCTTTCTGAATCTATGAACATACGCCCTAATACAGGTAATCTACCTAGTTCCGTAGGCTCGGGATCAGCATTTTGGTCCACTGAGCAACGCCTTCCGTATTGTTTGACTCCTCTTGCCATATTTCCATTGATCTTTCCCTTTCTTCTTTTTTTATGGCTGTTGTCAAATGCTCCCTTCTCTCATAGAGCTAACAAACAGTTAACATACTGCTAACACTTGCAGGGGAACACAACGCGTGATAGCCCACAAGGCTATCGCAGATACAGTCCTGTAGGAGCATGGACTAGCAACAGATTCGTTCTGTCTACTCTTATCATGACCCTTATATTAGGTATCTATATCTAAATATAATGAAATCCTAAAATGTATTTTAAATAATAATTTGTAAACAATTCAAATTTATAATAAAATGTCTAAACGGCGTTGCTTTAGAGCATATGGTGTATTAACTCCTCTTCATCTTCATCTTCTTAATCTATTTGAATGTCCTGATGGCTAAATATCAAAGCCAAACCTTTTAATCTCTCTTCGCTAATACAATTTCTTAAATAATTCATTAGTAAATAGGTAAAGAAATAATAATAAGACTTACTCACAATCAATTTAATTTAACAATCTGACGACCGGTTTCGCTTTCTATAATTTGCAAAGCATCTTCAGGTCGAGATACAAAGTTAAACTAATGATGCCGGTACTCTATTAATTGATGGATGGTAGGTCATGGTTGCAAAAATCATATATTGTTGATTGGAGAACTTTAATGTGCTATTGCAGTTGTTTTGACAATAAACGGGAAGTTCTTGAGGAGAACAGATTTGATCCAATGAATTAGAGATAGGTATATTGTTGTTGTTTGTCAGATGAAAGTGATGTTCTTTACTATTGTATTATTTAAATTATTTACACTTATATCAGAGATATATTTTTTGGAATGTGTGTTATTTATTGAGTATTTATGTAATGAAGGAGACAGTTTTATGACAATGAATAAGAGTAGCTGTACCGATTGTGTGGTTGTGCAATTTTTGACTTGCAATTATCAAGTCTATTGGCAAAATTATTAAATTATTGTAAAGTCAACTATGTAAAAAGGTATATAAAAAAGTATATAAAATTATTATAACTTAAGAATGATCAGGGACAAATTAAACACACATTAACAGGAAACAGAAACACTAAATGACGGGACAAACATTGAATTTAAAACTTAAACTTGGGGATGGAAGAAACTGTAAGCACTACATCTCACTTGTTGGAAGAAATGAGTTTTTCCAACAGTTTTCAAAACTCATTTCATCAAATTTATAGAGCAATGAGTATCATATGACAGTATCTATCTTTATTTTAATATTTTTCCATTTGCTGTCATATCATGAACATTGCGTATTATTAGTTCATTTTTATTTGTAATTCTACTGTACCTTTATTGATTAATTTCATTTTTTTTTGCTAAACTTTTTGATGTTAAATTGTTAAGACCTTTTAATGATGAAGTTGCAAATTGAGTATTTTCGTTGAATCTGTAATACTGTGCTTGTTGAGAACTATATTATATTATTATAATCTATTTTATTTCGTGTCTCCTACTCAGATTTGTTTATATTTTATAAATATTTTATACAACAGCTGTATATGAGTCGTTCATTTACAGCCAGTGTCAAGGTCGAGTATAAGCTCTATTTCATTTAGATACTTGGTGTAGTTGTTATTTCAATAACATACTATAATCTTTGTATGGCAATATAATGATACATGATTTGTACCTCATAAATTACATGCAGTAATCTTCTTTCACTTTATTTTGTTGGATTAACTTGACAAGTAGTGATGTTAGGACGGCATGCTTTGTGTTGATAAAGGGAAATAGTGCTGTGTCAGTAATATAATTGTTAATTAAATAGACTCAAAATAATCCTATTTTTGCATAATTTGAAATAACTTCTTAACTATTTATTTTATCATATGAACCATTTATATTTTAATCCAAATAAATAAATTGTTGTCACATATTAACCGCACTTTCAATGTCTGCATATAATAGTTCAATGTCATGGGCGACAAAGATCAGTTTCCTACCACCTTTTCGATCGCCTTCCCACCCTCACACCACACCGCAATAGTTCAATTTAAAAAAAATGTAAAGAGTAAATTCAAATTAGAGCAAAATAAATAATGCAACATCAGAGAAAATTGAAGTCAGGAAGAGGTTTAAACAAGAAGATCCACTATCAGCAGCAAGTCTATGTTTGGACTACGTCATACGAGAAGCAAATAACAACAGAGAAGGAATGCTTCCGTTATGCATATGTCGTAAGTCGAATTTTAAAAAGCAATCATATTTCAAGAATCCAAAAGTTCGGATGTGTAAAACAGTTATCCAACGAGAAGTAACATATGCTAGTGAAGTATTAGTTCAGTTGTCAGGGGGTTTACCCCTAAAAATCATACGAACAAGCTGAATTTTGCCGAGAGTATTAATTTTGAGACCACAAAAAAGATACAAAAAAGTTTACCACTTTTACTCCCGGTCTTCCCCCTAAATCTCCCCTTGTAGGGGGGCAAAAACGCAAAAAATCAATTAAATAAAATCAAAATATAGCTGAGATAATTCTAAAGAAAAATGGTTATCAGTTATTTTTGTGTAGAATGAACTGTTCTCTCAAACACAACGCTTGAAGTGACCGTAAATTTTGAATGTCAGTTAGGCGACATAAATCGACATAAATCAAGATGCGTTTTAAAGGTAAAGAGTGCAGCTTTCGTAAACAGTTTTTGTATTTTGCCGCAAATAAACTCAGTTTTTATAAAAATGTTAAATAAATATCACTTTCATTGACCAGTCATAGTAAAACTTCCATTCTTAGAGATTAATTTTTTAAACCATTGACATGAAATTTCAATCTTAAGTTGAGGCAATAAATGGCATTTAAAGTTGTATTACAAACGATCGCACGTCCCGAGAAATGCTTCCAAGAAGACGATTTTTGGGTGTAGTTTATAGCAGAAGTTTGGTTCTCTTAACAAACGTATTAGTGTAATTGAAAAAAAGTTTTAAACGTTTTAGATCGTTTGTTATCATCATCATCTGTGGCTCGACAATCCTCTGTGGATCTTGGCCTGCTCTAAGATTCGTCGCTATTCTGTTCGGTTTTTGGCAACATGTTGCTATCTTCTGATTTTTAATATTCGTAAGTCGGTTTCTACTCCATCTAACCACCTAATTCGCGGTCGGCCTTTGTTTCTTTTTCCTACAGGTGTTCCTGTGGTTAGCTTTTTAGCAATGGTATTTTCTGGCATTCGTATTATGTGTCCAGCCCATCTAAGTC